AAACCAAACTTGAATTTCAACTAATTATCAACTAATAATAAAACTTACCTTTACTTTGAGGTCTTCACGTAGGAAGAAGAGAGGAGAAGAAGATAACTCTGGAAGTTTTTATTTCTTTTTCTTAACCCTCCACATATATGTAGCCCCTAAAAGGAAGAAATAAAAATCTTTATTGCAAAATGACCATTTTACCCTTGTTTCTTTCCATCTTTACTAATCAATCATACTCATATAATTTCAAATTAAATCCCTAAACTTTTCACTTATTTTGAAATTGAACACAAAGCTTTCAAAATTCACATTTTAGTCATTAGCTCTGATTTTGGGATGTTATAATCTGCAAACTCCTTAGGGTGCGTTTGGGGTAGATAAGTACAATCAAAATGTTTTAGTTACAAACAATTAAATGAAGATGCCCTTAAAGCACCTTCATCTTGCCAACAATTTTCTTAGGTTTTGGGGCAGCTGCCTCATTGGTAAGCTCGGAAGAACGTTTTCCCATTAATTTCTCTTCTGCTTACAACAGAACTTGTTTTAATCTACGCAACACATGAAAATTTTAAGGAAAGCAAGAGAAAAATTAGTGGGAGTAGAACAATAGAGCATACAATTTTACAAATCTAAACAATTCCAAATATTCCAAAATCAGTTAAAGAACCAAATTCAAATTCTTTAGATTGTTTCCTTCTGAGAAATGGATGCATTTTCATCAATGTAAGAGGTGGCTATCAAGTGTAGTCATATGTGTAAATATTGGACTACTAGACGTTGTGAAAACTTTTACTAAACTAATGAAATTAAGATAGTTCGTTTGATACCAAAAACCAAAAAATCCTATTTGTATTAAGATTTCTGTGAACATTAACTGCCTTTACCATTAACTTTCAGATTTCAGTTTCACCTAAAGTCAGAGACAAGGAACCAAGCTGACTGACATGCTGCACATGGAGGTTTAAGCAGAACCAAATATAACAGCTCTAATAACTACTACAATACCTAGGAGAAGGAATTTTGATATTAACTTAGGACAAGACAAATCATGGAACGAAAACAATTAAAACAGAACACACAAAGGGAAACATAAAACACATGGCGTGGATGACTAAAGAAACCCTAAAAATAACATACAAAAATCTTACTGGACAAGAATCTAACGCATGGGAAAATAATCAAACGCAAAATAGGAGGTCCAAAATAGGAATCAAACGTAGCCAAATAGGAAAATAATAGCTCCAAAATGGAAAAAACCGAAAAATTACCAGATTTAGAATGAAGAATGTGGAGACAAAGAGTTCTTGACTTCCACGAAAATCAAAGACGATGGCCCATATTTTGGCATCCCCTTCAACCATATAAAGAGGAGAACACAAAGGCGAATCTTTTAACACCAAAATACAACCAATCGAAGTAGGGGGAGCGGCGACGGAAGGCTGACGGAAATCACGCACGGCGGGAATTTCAGAGAATCCTGATAGCCAGAACGAAGTGGGGAGAAGGTTATTTTAGACAACAGGGACAAGAATAATGAAATACCTAATGGAGATGAGAGATATATATTCCAAGAAAACAGTAAAAAAATCACTGTTGGTATTAATTCATTCATGGCACTTGGTAATATGGACAAATCCAAACGTGGGTATATTCTTCCCGGGAAAAAAACATTCTTTCCTGGAATGAATTATACTGTGAACAAAACGGGGCCTTAAAGCTTACCATGAAAAATGACTAAACATATTTTTTATTGTGTGTGAAAATATTGTTAGGATTATCAACCCAACAATTTCAATCGTTTTCATTTCTTTTCTTTCTTTGATTTTTCCCATTTTAGACGAGTTTTTAATAATAGAGTTAATTGCATCATTTTCCCGAAACTATTAACTCTCATTTTAAATTGGTCCTCAAACTTTTAAATATTCCAATTTCATCTACAAATTATAACTCTCATTTTAACTTAGTCCTTAAACTTTTAAATATTCTATTTTCATCCTTAAACTATGACCATATTTCTAAATTGGTTCTCAAACTTTTGAATATTCCAATTTCATCCCCAAATTCATCAAAATGTGTAGTTAGTTCCAACCATAGTTTAACCTAAAATTTGTTTTTTTTTCTCAAACATATAATAATATAACTTGGTATAACAATTTTATTAACGAGGGATGTGATTGATATATACGTATAGTTTAGAATGAAATTGGAATGTTTAAAAGTTTGTGACCAATGTAGAACAATAGTCATTGTTTAAGGATAAAATTGAAATATTTAAAAGTTTAGAGACAAATTTAAAATGTGGATCATACTTTGAGAACATGTGATGCAATTAAGTCATAATAACGACTTCCTTTCAGTTAAAACGTTAACAACTCAATTCTAACTTCAATTTTCTTCGTTATTCTTTTTTAAAATTGGAAATTCAACTTTCAAATTAGTGCATCAATATAAATATATATTTATATGATCTAAATCTATTGATTCAAACATAGAAGATTAAAATACTAACATTTTGCGAATATTTTCCACTAGAAATTTATTGCAGGTTTGGTGTTAGTTCATAATCTTACGTATCTTTCTTGCTTAAGCTTTTCATTTTACAAGAGTCTTTGAAGAAGAAAATTGTATAAAAATATATAGATTAAATTTTGAAATAAGATAATACCGAATAGATTTCGTAGCTCGTACAAAAGTTTTGAAATTCAGTTTATTTTTAATCTTTACATTTCATAAATAAGATTTAGATTAATTTTTTTTATTTAAATAATTAAAATTGTATCATCCTAACTTGGAATAGAAATGTCCCGTTTCAAATTGATCGGATAGGAGGTATAACTTTATCTTTAAACAAGTTTGAGTGGAATTAACTCGTAATATTTGAAAATCTAATCCAAAATTGCTTCTATATTAATCTTGTATTAAGAAATAAACTTCACTATTAACTATGATTACTTTAAGTTTCATTCAAGAAAAAAATATGATTATTTTAAGTAATTAAACAAGAATAATTTCCAAACCATAGGTCAAAGGTACATTAAATGATGCAAGTCCATTGGCTGAAAAGTAATAATATTGGTGCCAAATTAATGGTTCCATGAATGAGACCTCAAATATTTTATTTGAGAAAAACTACACATTATTGTTGCAACGCCTCTAAGGCACTAGCATCAGAGTTTACTTAAACCGCTTAAGTATTAGAATTCTCCAAAAGTTTTGTCCTCGACGATTGCTTAGCTAAGTCTCCACACGGATATGCAAAGAAATTTTATTTATATCATACCCTATGATGCGATAAGCGTCTTCAATCAAATAATATCAGAGTTCGTCCTCCGTTTAAAAATAAGATTCATTCAAAGATTGTTCCCTACATCTCTCGTTAGCAGTCCCTTAGAAATGTTTATATCCTCCGTCAATCTATCATGGCGTTGAGATGCATCCACTATTCTATCATAGTGGGAATTCTTTCCTTTTGATTAAGAGTATTGAGCTGTCTTCACTTTGATTGTTGAGATACATTGACTTCTTTTCAGATTTAAATATCAACTGGCTAGAAACGTTGAGATTCCGAACGGAGAGATACTTTTACCTACTAACTGTAGAACAATTGAGTTGTCTCTGTACTTAAAGAAGCATGATCTCAATAATTTGATATGTTATTTTATTTTATTAAAATGATGAAACAGCCTATATTAAATGAAAGGATTTGGGTATGAGTTTCACAGCTTTTCAAACTGACAAACATGAAACATCTCTGCGAAATATTTCTATTGATGTACTAACACATATCTTCAATAAATGAACAATGGTAATTGATTGGATTTATTAAAGGATCAACTTCAAAAGAAAATATAATTTGTTAGAATTATTAAAGAAAATCAGATTCCGAGATGTAATAATTTATTAAAACAGAAAACCAGCCACCAATGTTGGAAAGTACTTGGTACTGTTTTTTGGCTAAGAGTTTATTATCGTTTTAACATGTTCTTTCGAGCTGTTGGCCAACTTTCATATGTTCTGTTAACATAATAGCTACTCTTAGTTAATCGGCCAGTTTTGAGTTTTCTTCAACATTATAAATCCCAAAAGTTTGAATTAAAAATTATTTATTTCATGATTTAATGTTTTTTATATTTTTGTGATTTCTCTAACAAATAGATCATGAGGTGTAACATGATAATTGATCATTTTGCCTCTTATTCATGAGATTTAAGTTTAATCCTCATTCGTACAAATGAAACGTACTTTTTGATCAGTTATTTATTCGTTTGAAAAGCACAGCCATGTTAGAAATAATAAAAATTAATTATATCAATAATAATTCATTAAATAACTATTTAAAATGTAACGTTTTTGATGCATTGAAAATTTCTGTATACACCTAAATCTGGAGGAGCAAGTTGGAGTTTGGCTATGAAGATTTAAGCAGTAGTGTGTGTGTGTGGATAAAGAGGCAAAAAGGTCAAAATGGCACATGCAGCAGAGTCTAAATCCGTGTTAAACAAGCGTATTGACCGGAAACTTGAAAAACACCACCACCATCAACCGTTGAAACATCGATCCTTCCTCGAAACCTCACCCCCAAAGCAACCATAGCTACCAGTTGAGTTGAGTGAACCTCTGACTCTTATCTGTTAACCTCCATGTGACCAAGTCTAAACTCAACCTTCAAATACATACAATAATGGGGTATCGCCCTCAATCTTAGCTCTCTCTCTTTCTCTCTTTTCAAATTCATTTTCTCATTGTCTAAATTCTGAAACGTTGAAGTTGATTTCTTCTCAAATGCTTAACTTTTTTATATTTTAAAAAAAGAATAAAATACTATTGGGAGTGTGGTTGGGGTGTTGACATTTCGTGTTTGCCTGTGCAAGATGACCACTAAGCACAGTTGAATTTTGTTTGAAACCCAACTTTCTTTTGGTTGTATTACTATTATAAGAAGGGCAAGCTTTTCCATATGACTTGAAGCTTAAAGGAGAGTTAAAGACGAAGCTTTTCTTCATCCTGTAATGGAGGTTCTGCTGATGAAAATGCAAACATCAGATCCTAATAAGGTATATATTCATTCATCCTTTTTCAACTGCTTCGATTTGTTCTAGGTTTATGATAAAATTTACTGATGGATTCTTTAATTTTTTTTGTTTTTTAGAGTGAGATTGGAAGAAAACTCCAACAAAATGCTGATTTGAATTCACCATCTCCTTGCCACGAAGACTTGGTGGATAGAAAAGAGGTAGATCATTGCATTAAATGCTTGTGGACCTCTCTCATGCATACAACTGACACTTTTTCCTAGAATTTTGCAAATTTTGATAATAAAAATGTTGGGAAGTTGCAGTAATCAATTAATGCTGGTTTTGCAATTATGCATGATGATATTGATCAGGAGGATGAACTTGAATCTGCAAAAGCTGAGATGGGTGAGGTGAAGGAAGAAAATGAAAGATTGAAGAAGATGTTGGAGAAGATCCAGGAGAATTACAAGTCACTTCAATCAAGTTTCAATGAAATCCTTCAACAAGGAGCTACGAAGAAATCCACAAGCTCATTAGTTTCTTCATCGCCAGATAATGTTCCAGAGCCTGAACTTGTTTCACTTTCCCTTGGAAGAAGTTCTTCGATGGAGTCCATAAAAGATGATCCAGAGCTCAAACCCAGTTTAACTCTTCGATTAGACTCTAACTCTCGATTGTCAACCCCTGGAAATAGTTCAGAAGATCAACAGAAGGAAGATGGTGCAGCAGAAACGTGGCCACCAAGCAAGATTCAAAAGAGAACGACCAGAAATGGAGATGGTGAAGATCAACAAAATCATGTTAAGAGAGCTAGGGTTTCTGTGAGAACTAGATGTGATGCACCGACTGTAAGCATTTGTGTCAATACTTTTAGAAAGCTTTCGATATTTTTTCCTTTGATTTGATCATTGAATGCTCATTTCTTCCATTACAGATGAACGATGGATGTCAATGGAGGAAATATGGGCAGAAAATTTCAAAAGGAAATCCTTGCCCAAGAGCTTACTATCGTTGCACAGTTGCACCAGGTTGTCCAGTAAGAAAACAGGTAGATTATTTGTTCTCATAAATCATTTTGTGCATATAATATATGGTTGTAAAATTCTGTTAGAGTACAATATAAAACCATATTATATAATTCGAATCTCCACCTTTATCCCTTTAAAATATGAATATAATGAGCTAAAGGGCTAAAACCTGGTGATATATAATATGTAGGTCCAAAGGTGTGCTGAGGATACGTCAATATTAATCACTACTTATGAAGGGAATCACAACCATCCACTTCCGTTTTCAGCGATGGCAATAGCTTCCACCACAGCAGCCGCGGCCTCCATGCTATTATCTGGTTCTTCAACTTCTCAACAAGGGCTCAATTCAACAGCAACAGCTAAACTTTCAAATCAAGTACTCAATGGATTCAACTTCAACCCCCATGATAATTCAACAAGACAGTTCTACTTACCAAACTCAACCTCATCACCTTCGTTACCAACAATTACTCTAGACCTCACCTCTTCCCAACCCCCATCATCTAATTATTTCAACAGGTTCTCTTCAAACTTTCCCAGTTTCCCTTCTACAAGTCTCAACTTTTCTTCATCAGAATCCAACATATTGCCAGCAGTTTGGGGCAATGGATACTCCCGTTATGGTGCACAAGTACCCTATTATCAAACTCGGACTGTGGACTTGAGCCTCGGGAAAGAGTTCCAAGACCAGATTTACCAGTCTTTCTCGGGAAACAATCAGTCTTTGACAGAAACCTTAACCAAGGTAATCACATCAGACCCAAGTTTCAGATCAGTAATAGCTGCTGCAATTTCATCAATGGTTTGTAGCAGTGCAAAACCTGGAGACCCAGCTGATCAAAAAGCTGAGAAATTTGGTCAGAATTTGATGCAAGCCATAATTTCTCAAGATGGGAAAGATCAATCATCATGTTCATCAAGATACTGTAATGGATTGGCATCTTCTACTTCTCAAACAGGAAGTTCATTGCTTCAGCCTTCATTTCCTTTCCCCATTTTCAACAGTGCCTTTAAACCAGATTCTGATGATAAAGAACTCAATAATTAATTGAATAGAGAGGAAGGCGCTTTGAAATTGTTATACATATTGTTTTTTGCAAATAAGAATCAATTGTGAAGAATTTTCTTAAGTAATTTAAATTAGGCAATTTCATCCATTGCTCCTCACTCTTTATTATAATTTACTTTTACTCCTTAATCTTTGAATTTTTCTATTAAAGTCTAATCTTTGGAATGGCTCAGTTTTTGGTCCTTTCAAATAAATCTTTATTCTAAATTATAACGTGAAATAGATTTAGAAACTAACTGTAAATATAAAATCGTATATTAATTTTTTAATCGATTCGGGTTACTTTTACAAGTTTAATGTTTATGAATTTGAATAGGATAAGATTATATTTCCAATATGTGCTTGGATTTTAATAATATTTGTATAATATTTATTTTCGTTTCGATTTAAAGAGTGGATTTGAACTTTAATAATATATTTAGATTTAAGTTTAAATATAAATACTTTTAGAAAATTAGTAGATCTCTTCAAAATCAACTTAATCTAATCTATTTGACCCAATTAGCTCTGTTCAATCGGTTAAGTTTTTTTAATCGATATTTCCTCATTGGGTTAGTTTTAAAATATGTGTATTTGATTAATAAATTAATAAAAAATAAAAACATACAAATCTACAAAATTAAACGAACAATTTGTCTTTTCTTTTATAATATACACAAGTTTTTTTTTGGGGGTAATAGCAGTGATACTAAACTAATCTAATTATGCATCTCTATCTAGAGTGGTTGAGTTAATATCCTTCTGTAGCAGTAGCTGAAGCTCCTAGTTCGGCCTTTGGATTATCTGCAGTCCCAGATTCTGGTGGTCTCCATTTTTGCTTCGAATGGCGTGTGAACCACTTGTACATCCCATTCTTTTTTGAGTAGATCTTGGCTGCATCTGGATATTGTAGATTTCTGGCCTGCTGGCTGGACGAGAGGAGGTTCACAGCAGTTGTACAATCTGTTGCCACTATTATCTTGAGGTATCCTTTGCTCTATAATAACTGTAGTCCATCGAGTATAGCCCATAAGTCTACATTAAGACCTGAGAAGACTCCAATCGTGCATCTGTATCCGAATAGTCATTCCCCGTGTTCCTTTCGTGCGATTCCACCTACTGAGGTTTAGCGAGAGTTCGGGTTCGTGGCTCCATCTGTGTTCAGTTTAATTGTTCCTTTAGGCGGGGGTTTCCATTGTGTTCTTGGTCTTGGCATTAATCTGGATAGTGTGTCCGTTGATTTTGATGTTCCCATCGCCTTAGCCCATGTTACTGTCGCCTCAGTAGTCCTTGGATTGATTTACTTCCTGCTTCGAATATGACGTAATTGCGTTGTTTCCAGAGTTGCCATATAATGGTTTGATAAAGGTGCTTCCATGCACATTCCGAATGTGGTATTTGGAGTGAGTTCAATAGGTTTGCTTGCAACTAGCTATCTAAAGGGAGTGAGAAGAACGTCATTTGAATTTTAGTTGGGACGATTTGCATCAATAGGGAGCATGCGAGTTGACAATCACGTAGAACGTGAAAGGTGTCTTCGACTGCGTTATAGCGAACTGAGAAAGATGCATCTGAGGTAAAACCCCGATGTCCCCTTTTGTGATTTGTGAAAAGCCTAACTGGAGTATTAGCCATATAAATTGTCGTATGTGTTGGGGTTTGTCAAAAGACTAGGCCAGGGACCACCTCTTGTCTTTGGATTCCTATTGCGTTTGTATTTTAGGCCTTTACTGTGCATGTACCTTCACTGCAAATTTTTTTTTTTTTTTTTGGATAAGTTAGATTTTTTATTTATCCAAGAAGAAAAATATAAAGTTTCAAAGAAAGTCAGAGACCACTACACAACAAACAAATTAGGCTATATTCCAATTGTTACAAAGAAGCATATTAACATTATCAAGCTTATTGAAGTCTCTATTCATATGATGAAGTCCTACTGTCTCTTTTATAGAACCAAGCAAGTCTTCAATTAGGCCTGTAAATGAACTGAACGTTCAACGAACCGTTCATGAACCGTGCGGCGGGAAGTTCGTTTATGTGCGTTTATTTATTAAATGAACGAACATGAACAAGATTTTTTGTTCGTTTAATTAAATGAACAAACATGAACATAGGTCTCGTTCGTTCATTTACGTTCGTGAACGTTCGGTTATGTTCGTTTGGTTATGTTCGTTTATGTTCGTTCGATTATGTTCGTTTATGTTCATTCATTTATGTTTAACACAATCTTCTTAAATCAATTTTGGTGACCAATTTGTAAGTATCTTAAAAATATTAATCTGATATTTTGATGACCAACTCCATAATTAACCCAATTTTATTTGGAGATTAAATCCAATATGTTAACCTGTGAGGCACCTCGCACTTATATTCATTTTCCCCTTTTTTCCCAAACCTTATTGTTCACTGGAGAGTGGAGACGATCTTTGAAAGATTCAAAACAAGTTATATTATAGTGCAATATGAAGTTTTACATGTCTGTTTTCATCTCTTTCTCTGTTTTATTTGACTTAATAGTTGATATGTAAAGTTATTGTGGGTATCTTCACATCTAAAACTCAAGAAAACATAATACTTCTTTCTAGAAATAGATGGGAAGATAAAGGTAAAAATCGGAAGTATATGAGCATCAGTAAAAAGAAAAATATATAGAATTTGCCAGAAAACAAAACAAAGGTTTCTATGCAATTTCTGAAAAAGAGTGTAATAGCGGAAAATGATTGTTCATATGTAATCATGGAACACTAAGATAAATGTTATAGCGTTAAATTAAAGTCGTATGAATCATTTAATATCTTTAAAAGATAGATCGAAATATTTGATATCTTCAAACATTTCATCACTGCTAATAAGCTCTTACGCTATTTATCACTGTAGATTTGGTTGATTTGCATTGTCGACTATTTTTCATGAAAGAACAATGGAAGGTAGGGTCTCCAACGTTTATGTTCGTTTATGTTCGTGTTCATTTATGTTCGTGTTCGTTTATGTTCGTGTTCGTTTATGTTCGTTTATTTATTAAATGAACGAACATGAACAAGTTATATTCCTTAATAAACGAACATGAACAAAAAAAAATTTGTTCGTTTATGTTCGTGTTCGTTTATGTTCGTTTATTTTTTAAATGAACGAACATGAACATACCTTCGTTCGTGTGCGTTCGGTTCGTTTACATGCCTATCTTCAATAGTTCGGAATTTGCCTCGGAATATACAACAGTTTCTCTCCTCCCAAACCTTGTAGAAGAAAGCACACCAAGCAGTCTTCATGATAGAGGTTAAGAGAGATTTACCTTTCCAAGTTGAAGCAGCCCAAGCAAGCTTGATTTCCCATGGCATGTGAGGAACGGACAGAAGAGACAGTTGCAAAATACCATTCCAAAGAGAAGTGATCATAGTACAATCAGCAAATAAATGATTTCTCGTTTCAAGAGCATCATTACAAAATACACAATAACCAACAGTAGTGAGACCCATACAAAGGAGTCTATCCCTCGTTGGTAGTCTATCAAGAATAGCCAACCAAGTAATAACACTAAATTTAGGGATGTGAAGGGGAAACCAGATAAGTTTATGCCAAGGGACTTTATCATGTTTGTGTCTAACTTCTTCCCAAATCCCTTTAGTGGTCGTAATACCAGCATTAAGAGTGGGGATGGCTTCATCTTTCAGTTTTATAAGTTTATTGAATATGTAGCTAGAGGAAGCACTAGGAGACATTTGGCTAAAGTTGTTATTTTTTATAACATAAGAGTAAGTCCAAGCAATCCATAAAGAACCTTGACCAGCAAGAAGGTTGCGAATTAATAGAATCATGCAAACCTTATTACAAGATTTCAAATCTTTTAATCCCAGTCCTCCTTTTGGGTTTGCATAAATTGATCCAACTTACTCTGGCTCCAGAGGCTAAAGTGTCAGAGCTTTTCCATAGATATCTTGAGCAAAGTTGGTTAATTCTGTTAATAACAGATTGAGGAAGCAGGAATTGACGACACCAGAAGTTTGCAATGTTTTGTAAAATAGTTTTTATGAGTTCTAACCTACCAGCATAGCTTAAGTGCCTCCCAGACCACTGGTGGATTCTAGATTTGATCTTATCAATAAGAGGGTAGCAGTCTTTAATAGTGAGTTTTCGGGGAACTAGAGGAACTCCAAGATACCTCACTGGTAAAAGGCCAATCTTGAAACCAGTAGAGGTTTTGATGAGTTCAAGGTTCCTTGGAGAAATACCAGCTGCAAAAATTTCAGACTTAGCCACATTATGTTGGAGACCAGATATTTCATAAAATTTTTGAAGAACAGAAATTACTCCAATAATAGACTCTAAATTTCCTTTGTAGAAGATAAGGAGGTCATCAGCAAAAGATAGATGAGTGAGCCCTATTTTCTTGCATTTAGTGTGATAACCGAATAAACCTTTGATGGCAGCAAGATTAAGGAGCTTAGAAAGAATATTCATGGCTAGAACAAAAACAATGGGAGATAAAGGATCTCCCTGCCTAAGGCCCCTTTTACCTTTGAAATAGCCAATTAAAGAACCATTAAAGGAAATTGAATATCTTGCTCCAGAATAGCAAGCTTGGATCCAAGATATGAATATGGGAGGGAGACCAATTGCATTGAGGATGGATGAAAGGAAATCCCAGTCAAGGGAATCAAATGCCTTTTGAAGATCAATCTTGATCGCACATCTAGGAGAGATTGAATTTCTACCATAGCCTTTAACTAGGTCATGGGCTAAGAGATTATTGTCAATAATGTTTCTTCCTTTAACAAAGGCAGTTTGATTAAGAGTAATCAGGTCAGGAAGTAAATTTTTCAGCCTTTGAACAAGAATCTTCGTAATTGCCTTATAGACCACAGAGCAACAAGAGATGGGTCTATAGTCTTTGATTTTGCTAGGATTAGTGATCTTAGGGACAAGAGCAATAATAGTAGAATTAAAAGCAGGTAACACCCAAGAGTTCTGGAAAAAATACTTAACAGCTTTTAAGACATCATCCCCAACCACTGACCAGGTAGTTTTAAAGAAGAAAGGGGTGAAGCCATCAGGCCCAGGAGCTTTATCATTACCTTGACTGAAAAAAGCTTCCTTAATCTCCTCATCAGTGATATTTTTTCCAAGTCTGCTAAACCCTCAGGGGACAGATTAATTCGAAGCAGAT